TTTGTCAGCCATGTAGCTGTCACTTGAAGCAACTATATACTTCTCAGGAGGAAACTGATCCTCATGATAGAGATGCAGGAAATCAGAGCTGTGTTTTCTATAGATCATTTGCATTTGTCCCACAGTGGTGTGTAAGAGTCAAACACTGTGCAGACATATCAAAATATATCTAGAACAATCAGCTAGGTCAAGCCAGGCTTAGCAGGTCTGGATCAGTGTGAGCCGTGACATGCCTGGTTTGGGCAACACGGTGCTAAACCTGTGGAGTGAGACCTGAAACCCTAGCTGTCAGTGTGGGCTGGTGCTGCGAGTTCAGACCCTGCTGGCCCTCGCTCAAATCTAGCCTCTCGTGTGCTAGCAAGGGGAGACACCTTTGTCGGGAAGGTAGTTTTCCCAGGGTGAAACTCATCGCTTCCATTACTGGTGCGCTGACCCCTGTGATTTCCCCAGATGCAAAGCTAATGAATATCGTTGTAATCTGTTAATAAGTGACTCATTTGGGTTCATGGCAAAAGCTCTTTATTTGTACTGTAAAATACTAGGGAAAGGAAAAATATTTCACAGACTGGGTATGGAGGAAGAAGGTAGCAAAAAGAATATATCCATTAATAAAGGCACATCAACAGTCTTTAAACATCATACACAGAAAGTGCAGATATTTGTGCAAAAGGGTGGCAGGTTGTTAGTGACACATAAGCCTGAAAATGTACGGAAAACATAAAGGCAGCCTGTTGCTTCTTTACCAAACCAGCCGCCTTCTCCCTCTTTACTCTCTTCTTCCTCCTGCCCCAGTACCCAAAATCACATCACTAAAATCTGTACGTATTTTCAAAGGGTGTGTGTTAAAACACTTTATTACTTCAACCAGATGGAGACTCAGAACTGCTTCAAAGCAACAAACCTGCTCACTTGGATTTCTGTAAAAATGAAAGGTACGATGAAAGGTACGGTGACAAACGGAATGTCAGTAGTGTTCGTTTTTTGATGGTTTGCTAAGGACATGCAGAATACAAGAATATCTAAGCCTAAAAAAGTTGCAAAAGACAACAGCAGGCAATATTGGAGAATATTGGAAAATTTAGTAAACGGCATTCATCATGGATCCATGTGAAAACGATGAACTAACAAAATAAGCCAGAGCATTTAGACAAAGAATTATCACATAAAAAAGATATACGAAATAGATCCATTTTATGAAGTAAAGTACATTCCTCTCTCTGTCAACCTCTTACTGAAACCATTGTAATCGACTTGCAGTAACACAGTAAAACCAGTCAATATATATATAAATAATGTAACATAATAGTCTCCAAAGTCAGCCATCTAAATAGCAAGGGGATTATAGGTAATCTTAGAAATATTAAATGTGCTGTTTTGGAGTGGGAAAAGTAAACGAGAATAACATGAAAATTAGTAGCTGTACCCTTTGATCTTACTTAATGCTAGTTTGGAAGTTTTTACTAGTTTTTAATGAACAACCGACAGCAAAGTTACACCAGAAAAAGATAAGTTAAATAATCAAATAAGAAAGAATGAACAAAATGAACATGTGGCCATATCCAGCCTCAAATACGTATTGTTGCAAATTTTCCATTGATTTCTGTGACAAATTACATACCAGTATATGTAGAGGAATGCTGCTTAAACTGGGGGCAACTTTGGGCAACGTAACAAAGGAAAGCTATGGTTGTCCAGCACTTTTGTCTTTTCAAGTGTATTGATCATCCACTCTTGATGTATTGAATTCAGAAGGAAACAAGTACTGATTTAGTGGAAATATGCTATGAGTAAATAATATAATGAAATAATAGCGTACTGAAATTGCTGTATTCTTTTTGAGCTACAGTGGCAAGAAACTGAATCTCTTATGGTGCAGCACCTCAGGAAGCAATTTTCTTTTACTCACAAGAAAAGATGCATGGAGAGTGGACTCATGTGATTTCCACAGCTGCAGCTATTTCATAAGTAAAAGGTCATGAGTGGTATAGGAGGAGATTATGCTGTAGATTATCAAGCTCAAAAGGTTTTATAGGAGGGCTTTTAAAATAAAGATTATATGTTTTTTGTTTATAACCTTTAGATAATATCAAGGTGACATGTATAGTGAATTTCAGAGCACTTTTATTCTCCAACTATAGCTCTGTACCAGTTAAATTACTGTGAGAAGCAGATCAGAAAGCAAAGGAATGCATTCTGCAACTCAGCTGATCGATTTTTCTTTTTGTTATTTCTTGGGCGACATTCAGTACGAAACAAACTTCCAGGATTGTTAGTAAAAACTAAAAATCCTTTACACCGATTGCAAGAGGTGGAGCACACAAGAGGAAACTGAGATTGGACACTAATCAGAAATGACATAGTATTAAATATATTATGAATAGTGCTGTGTTTTTTCATGGTGCCTGTGGAGGTTAACAAGCTGCATTTTCTGTCTTGAAGATTTTACAGTCTAGATTAATGTTTGGTTTTATTTCTTATTAATTAAAAAAAAAAAAAAACCTGAATGCCAGCTGTCCTATTCTTTTGTAATTGCTAAAAATGCAACAATCAAAGAACAAGTATTACTATAGATAGAGAAAAACAGATCTGGATCTCTAGTTGATAAGGCAAAATAAAACTGTTTCTGCCTCCTCAAACAAGAAAAGAAGAAGGAAAAGGGGAAACAAAAAATGAACAAATAAGGTACTGTCCCATCGTGAACTCTTTCTCTCAGTAAGGTTCTTTCCAGTGGACACAACTAGGATAGCGAGGAGTTGGTAGCGTATGGGTCAGTGGTCAGTGACAGCGAGCAAGGTGAATAAGCTGGGGGCAGGTTATTCACTGAGTGACTAGGGCTTAAATGGCCAGCAGTGTTTGCTCTTAACCAGTATTTCATTTCCCATGTCGTTTTTTTTTTTAACGTTATACATTATTGCTTGATGATACTGAGAAAATATAGTATATTTAAACACCAAGGGAATATGGTAAAGTGTGCCATCATCCTCACAGAAGGAAGAGCACTGATAGCACATTAGCATTAAAAGATGGCATTCCAACTTTTGAGAGCTGGTTGCTGATAGCAACTTGATGAAAAATGTCTCTACCTTACTTTTATAATGAGATTAGAATGATTAAGTCAGCATGGTGGGCCCAGTGTGCAACTCCTACTGCTTTCAAATACTATATTTGTGTTGTGTTGTCTCCTGGTTGGATCTTCAGTTGTGGTGAGATGAGTGGCAGCATGCCTGATGAAGAGCGTTGTTCTTCCAGGCAGCTTCCCATTAGAGAAGGAAAAAGGGAGTGTGGCACGGGGGAGTCCTGAGAAGGCATTTGATCTGGTGCCAGTGGCACATATAGTCTGTGGATGACTATCTATCTGCTCTGAATGGCTCTTTTACTGACAAACCTTCTCTGACGGTCGCCATAATAGGATACAAATCCTAAGGACAGTGGCTGTCAAAAACAGGAGAGTAAATACTAAATCAGTTTGACTGAGAAAGGAGGTCACGTGCTTTGGTGAGAGTGGAAGAGAAAGGGAAAACTGTTAGTCTAGTCTCTTGCTGCATGCCAATAGGTCACGTTTTGTTGGTAAAAGCATGTATGAAAAAGTAGTACAGACACTGAAATTTAGTGATGAGCACAGAATGAAGGAAATTGCATAGCCTTAATTATAAGCTCTTGGAAGTGCCAGACAAAGGTGCATAAGTTTCTCTAGCACTTTTCTTACAGATACAGGAATGATCGCAGGGGAGTGAAATGACCTGCCCAAAGTCACAGAACATATCAGTAGTATTTTTCGGAAAAGAATTCACTTGTTCACTCCCTATTCTGCGTTTAAAAAAGAGCGTATGTTGAAATAGAAAAGCAGCTTCCATAACCGGTATTAGTTGCCCAACCAAAATAACGTCAGACGTTCTTTAAAAATTGAGGGACAAAGGATGAATGGCATGTGAATAAGGTGTGATTTATGTTGCAGTAACTGAGAGAGTTATCTAGTGATAGGGTAAGCATGAATATATACCTTAAGATCCTAATGATGCTACAAATCTTAGAATCCTATGTATGTATAATAATATAGAGACTAATTTTTCAGCTTTCCTGATACATAGCTTCAGTGAACTTTGGATCAGGCTTCACTCAATATGAAAAGCCACTTGTAATTATGTGAAAAAAGGAAGTTGCTATTGCAATGTGAATGTTTTCTTAGAAGGACTGAGTGGATTATGTACTTATCCCTTATTTTAAAATATCTAAATGAAATAGTTCTAAGGAAATAGAGGATTAACAAATAAGTACAATACGCAGCAAGCAGTCTAGCTGAAGAAAGGCTACGTAATTTAAAATATCCTCAGCTAAATCCACTGTAGCAAATCTAGCTGGGAGACTGAATTACTTCAGATACGTGTGTGCTTAGAGTGGTCCATTTGGGTCAAGGCTAAAGTTCAGGAAGGATAGAGAAAGACTCTCAGGCTGCCTTTCTATTCTCGGACCTATACAGTCCATGACTCCAGCTGTGAATGGACGTAATCCTCTTAAGAATCAAAAATCTAAATATTTGTGTAAAAACGAGCAAGCAAAAGCAGGATACAAATACACAGTGGAGTTTCATTTTGTTGTTTGCAGATCTCTGTAGATCATGATGTGATCTGGATCTCATTGAGATCAGCTGGAAAAGTGTCTGTTGACTTCAGTATACACAGAACTGTTCACCAGTTCAAAGACTATTATTTTTACCTCCTCTCAAACTAACATTTTTCCAGAGCTGCAGAATATATCTGAAGATGGATCCATTTCAAATGGAAGTGTCTTCAAAAGATGTTGATATTTCTGCATGAAAGTTGTGATCAGTTTCTGTGTTAACAAAATTGCATTTATAGGTTCTGAACCTATAAATTAACAGGGTAATGGCATATATTTTGGCATTCTATAGGGGACAAAAGTTGAGGATCCAAGTTTGCATTCCTAGTTCCTTGCTGACTTCTTTTTATCTAAAACAAAGTTTTCTCTCTACTTTTTTCCAGATCTGGAGTTGGTGTGACAGGTTCTAGGCACACCTTATTTTATGCAGAAGTAACAGACCAGATGAAAACCGGTGAAGGAGGTGGCCAGTCTGAAGAAGGAGAGCTGATAGAAGCTGTAGAAATACCTTTAGAAGACTCCATGAAGTTTGCTTTTGATGAGAATCTCCCAAAGACACCAGGTGTCATTTTTGGCTTTGTGTGGTTCCAAAACAACATAGCACCTAAGCTACCAAAACAATAAAATCAAAGCACCGTAATTTTGAGGAAAGCTTTCCCACTCGTTCTATGTGTACAGAAAACTGCACTGCAAGTCTGCCTGCGTTAATCAACCCAAATTATCACAAACGAAATCTTTCCAAATCTTTGAAGCGAAATTAGAAATAAAATCCTGACGGGATTTGTCTCTGGGAGGCAGATGTTTCCCACACAAAACCTAAGTAAATGTGTCCAGTGTTAGAAGCGCCCCTTTTTGTGGCACTGCTCTACCACTTTTCTGCAGAGATGCTCAGAGCCTCAGTGCAGCTGCTACACAGGCCTGTCCCTATGGTCTATAGATACTGGCAGCTGCTTATTCCCTTTAGTTCTCATAGCTGAGGGCTTTTATGGTTGGTTGGTTGGTTGGTTTTTGGCTTGGGGTTCTTTTTTGGCCAGCAGACCTTAATAGTCAGATATCCTAACTATGTACCTGCATTCTGCACAGCTTTCAGGAATGAGCTTTCTCTGTCATGCATAGCTCCTATACAGAAAATGTTTGCATTTTTGAACATGCAGACCTTTATTTCATAAGCAGACAGAAACACATTTGTAAACTGTTCTGCTAATATGTCATTCTGACAATAGAGCAGCTCTAAGGAGATGGGGATACAGGGACGAAGCATGGGGACTACCACTGGAACACATACGTTTCTGTTTTCTGGATAATCCTTGATTAATTAAATCAAACTGTCCTCTAGAGCGGGACTTGAGAGGCCAAAATTCTTTTCATTTGATTAGGAGATGACTGGTAGAAGTCCTTTCTTTGAGGTGTTGTGCATCTCAGTTTCTTTACTGCTAAAATGAAAAGAATAGGACTTGCTCCTCAGGTAAAGCTTTTTGAAATCTAGTGATCAGAAGATTTATTGAGAGGTTTTATTGTCATTTGTGCAGTTTACATTGAAGCCTATGCAGCCTGCACAGATGTACTGAGCAACACAGTTTGAGTCAGTAAGTAGTCTAATTAGAACGTATATTTTATATTCTATTGACATAGTTCGGATGTAGACTGTCATATGAAACTGTTAATAGCATGAATGAGAGAGAATCAAGTCTGGCAATTTAGTTATGTGCTTGTTCATGTTATTCACTCAGTTAATATTAATTAACATGACTACATTATATATGTTTGTAGGACTACTGAGGTACTATGTATTTTCAGGAGACAAGTACTGGGAATGTGCAACCTTTCACATAGCAACTGAAATAAATTTAGCACAAATCAGCTGGAAGTAATTGTATCCAGTGGCTGATTTGAAATTGCGGCAGTTTGAAATACATGTATAAATTTTAAAAAAGGCCTTTAAAACTGGCACTTGCTGTTATCCTACTGACAGTTATGGAGGAAAACTCATTGGAAAGTCATTGGAGAAAGAGCAGTCTCAGTCCATGGGAGTCGGACAGCTTTTATGAAAGTTCAGACACATTTGCGTTGAACTGTGCCTGGTCTGTGGATGAGTCAAGGGCTGAGTTATCATGAAACGAAAATTAATTTTGTCTGTCTTGTGTATTTACATTGGAAGGTATTTTAGGGCTGGGTCTGAGCTCCTGTGCATCTTTCCAGTGTCTCACACAATGTGTCCTGATTGCTGTTGAGGCCTTTAAGGTCCTTGAATGTAATAGGTCCTTATGAATAATAAATAATGAATATGAATAATAAATAATGTAAGTATGGTACAGGCATTAATGTCTTTTATTCCAGGTTGTAGTTGCCAAAGTATCTATTTGATTCCATCAAAGTTATTACACAATACCTTTTGATCTGTTCAGTGTCAGGCTAATGAGTGTGTGTGTATATAGTCAAAAGCTTTTCTGCTGCTTAATGCGGTAATTTGAGGGGAAGAAAAGAAACTTTCTAAAATGGCACTTCTTTGTTGATACTCTTCGTTCCAAAATTACAAATGGACAAAATGTCTCCATTTCTAATTAGGTTCTCTGTGTGATGCTGAGAGTTTTCCCCTGGTCAGATGTTGTCTCCCCCACTGGAACCGTAATCTGAAATCAGTACTTCACAACATATACATTCACATTGCATTTATTAAGACTTTGACACAGCTAGGTGGGTGACAGGCATTCAGGGTGTGATTCATCTGACTAAATATGCCTTTCAAAGATTAGTCTGTCTAGAAGTGCTTTTTGAATCTTGGTACCTGCATTTAGTTAGGACTCATCAGACCACCACTGGAGGAGACAGGTCAGCCAGCGCTGCATTGGCTATGCCACAACGCACCAGCAGCCTTTGTCTTGAACAGCAGGCTGCCTGGCCGTCACAGGGAGAGCGCGTTGTCACACCCAGCCCGTGGCTGCAAAATCACTGTGCAAATCACACACTCGGTGCCAGCAAGTCCTGCCCTGGCTGCATGTCTTCCTCTGAGCTGGACAGTTTGAAAATGCAGATAACTGTCACCCATGCCAAGGCACTGTGCCTGTCCCTCTGTAATGTACTGTCCCTTCCCAGGAGGAGGTGCGTTTAGGGGGGAAGGGCCAAGGGCAGTGCCAGACTCACCAAAATCTGACCCAAACTGCTTCATATTCAGTGTCTCAAACAGTCCAACTTGAGCTGTAGGTTTCTGCTAGTCAGCTCTGCCATCACACTGTTGTCTGCAACTTCTAACAAACCGTGGATGACCCTCAAACATTTCCTCCACCGCACCATAACACGTTTTTGTGGGTCTCGTGCACTAGCATCAGCTAGTTCTTCCTTCTCTGGCTTTGCCCCTGCCCCAGCGCTGTGGCCTGAGTAACTATTTTTGATGCATTTTGTGCTTCTCTTCTGAACCATCAGGACAGCCATGTGAGCTGGGCAGATCTTTGGCATTTCTGCACAAACTAAAAGACTTTGTATGACAATTTGCAGACACCTGCAAAAAACCCGGGAACTGCGGTGGCTCTGAAGCCTTTATCCTCCAAGGGAAACTACACCCAGGTCTGCCTTCCACCAGCCATTTCTCTAGCAACTACATGTCTACATGTGGACAAGCCCTGCAGAAAAGCTTTTGTGAGTAAGAATTTGTGGCATTAGATCTGTTTGTGACACAGAAGAGCATCTAAAGTCAGGTCTTTGGTTCTCAGGGCCAGTCTCCTTGATGTTCATTCTCTGATCACAGCCTTTCTACTTCCTAGGATATTGAGATCTCCGAGTAAGGATATGGGACTTGAAAATAGGGAGTCAGGGACCATTACCCTAAGATCAAGCCTGATAATGTTCTTATCCATTGGAGCAAGAAACCCTCAGTGCTAATGTGGCCCATCTCCCTGCCTCAGGACATCTGAATAAATAATGATTTATTCCACACAATTTTAGATATTTCCACATTCTGACATTTCCACTTAGAGCAAAAACCAGTGACAGACCAGATGTCCATCTAGCCCTGTACCCTGTCTCCACCCATGGACATTACCAGGTGCTCAGGGAAGATTAAGAACTGAGTGAATGAGCAGTGATACGTTTCCTAATACTCTCTCATGCGGCAGCTATTTTCAGCTCAGGATATTTGTAATTCTCAAACAAACAGAATCAAAACAGTTTTGGGTTTCGTTTCAGAATCTGGGAATTTTCCACGTAAGTGGCAATGATGTAATATAATAAAAGGACATAAAACAATGTTGTATCGGGTATTTTGCTTTTCAATATTAAAAATAAAAGTGTCTTCATCCTTTTTCTTCTTAGCTGTTAATTCCTATGGTGATTTTTATAAGTAATTAGGAATGTTTGAAAATGTGGGGGAAAGCGTTTGAACTGTTTCAAACAGTAGGTGATTCATATTTGTAAAGATATAACCTGAGCAATTCAGATACCACTTCTTTCATCAGGGCTCTTTTCAAAGATTGTGATTAGAACAAACCTGAAATACATCTGCCAAGTCCAGGCAGGAAAAGGTGCTGCTACTGGAACCTTTCAATCACATCTGCATTTTAGACGCATCCTTTTCACATGCTACAACACATATGTCCATGGAGAGCAAACATTTCAGAAAAAAATAGCGTCCCCCTTTGCTTGTAATGAATATTGACTGCAGCATACAAAATTCTCATCTGGTCTTTCCAGCCATCCCCATGCGATCTGTGTCTTTTGTCTGAGGTCCGCTGATTAGTCCATATTTTTAAAAACAACCCTTACCATCTCTCTAGTCTTATGATACATCTTTGAGATACAGTGATAGGCCAAAGAAAATTTAAAGAGAGCAAGAAATGAGAAAAAAAACTTGAATGTCACGTAATTGTCAGGTTTGCTATTAGATGGCAGAAGACATGTCACCAACACGTTGCAAGTACCTGGACCTCGTTTATTATTGTTGTTTATCGTCCTATTTATAAAATATCCAGAGGCCCTAAGCTACTCTCAAATCTGGTGGCATTAGTCACTAAACAGTGATATCATGAAAAAGCCTTCTCTAAAAGGCTGATGTTTTAATAGGCTCAGACATGTCGGTGCCAGGATGGGGATGGACGAGGTGCTGTGCCACCGCTGAACAACGTGATTGCGCCCTGGAGATCTCCGGGGCTGCAACTGCCTGGGCTCAGAGTGGTGCGAGCCTGACTGTGCTGAGCAACGCCGTTTTGCATGCGGCAAATCGCAAAAAAAAAAAAAAAAACAAAAA